TTATATGTATGTGTGGGTACATTAATATAGCAACATTTCCTTTTCTCAAATTATACGAATGAAATTATACCAAATTATGTGTTGGGTTTGTGGGTAGAGTTGAGTAGTTGAAATAAGATTGAAAAAAAAAATTATGTATGTTGAAAAAAATAGTACGATGTAATGGGACTGAGGACAACTAATGTATAAATGGAACCTCACTGAGGTAAAATCAGCAGCAAATATATTGAAGGATGTGGAATGGGCCTGAACTGTGACATTGAATTAGGTCCCCTCCCGCCCCCCGGGGAATCCTTGTTTTGGTTCTTTATTTCATTTTTTCTTACCTGACAAGTACATAATAGCCATCAACTATGCTGGCTGAGAATTCTGGAAGTTGGAGTCCCAAGATATTTCAAAGATGCCAGGTTAAGGAAGGCTATTCTAAACTTAAAACACTGGATGTATTCTATTTTCTTTGGAAATTCTGTTTTCATATTTATTCCTGAGTAGACTGGGTAAAACATCAACATAATAAAATACAAGAAAACAAAAATGGAGGAAACAATTAAATAAAATCTTATTGCTCTAGTGTATAAACTTCTTTAAGAGGCAAACTGAACTCCTATATTTCTTAGTGTTGTAGCACCTTTACTGTCATAGATTCCTTGAGGGTGGGGGGTGTGCAGCCTCTTACAATGTTGCAGGCATTAGGTATTCAGCTAGAGATCCTTATTCCCATTCACAGAATTTCATTTGCCCAGGTTATCTTTGGAAAAAGAATGAGACCTAAATTTGTAGCTGGAAGTGAAATAGACCCTTTGCTGCATGTTAAAGAGGCAAAGGATTTTTTTAACATTAATTTTTTTTTTTAGTTTAATCCTATTTATATTGGAACGAAAAGTTGGGGATAATAAAAGTTCAAGAACAAACTTTTGAGAAAACCACCGCAGAGGGTTTTTTGTTTGTTTTTTCCATTTTGTTTGATTTGCATCTTGATCTGAATTTTCCTAAATTCACATATTTGATTCATTTCACAAACCCAAATGTTATCTTTTGAAATGTTAGGCTCTGAAGTTTGGGATGATTTTCCATTTAAAGAAAAGCATAGAAAAATACATAGGCATATGATTGTTAAATCAAATTGTTGGCCAAAAATGGGCAAAACTGTTAATAAAATGCTTATATCAGGAAAAATGTGTCCAAAATTACATACATTTTTTTCTGTAACCTTTTTCTTTAAAAAATCTCCATAATTAACTTTTTAAATGCATGCTTATATTTCTTTCATACTTCATTCCCTATATTTCTTACATTCCCTACTGATTTATATTTTATAAATATAATTTTTTATTTAATTTTTATCCTTCTTTGTATATTTATGTTACCCCCACTCCCACTTACCTGC